AACCATAACTCTGAACCACAAACATAAGACGTTACACACACTTAAAAAAACACTCCTCTTCAAAGGGAACAAAGACAGAGAGACAGATAGATAGAAAGACAACGGCTGGAGAGAACGAATAAAACTCTACTTTACAGGAACAGACAGATAGACAGACAGACAGACAAATAGAAAGGCAAATAGAATGACGGACAGACTTCAGCTGGTGACACGAGGCAAAATATAAAGGAAACAAATAGACAAGACTGACAAATAGACAGACAACAGATGGTGAAACGAAAAAAATAGACAGAGAGACAATAGTTGGTGAAGATAAACAGCAGGTGAGAACGAAAAAAAAAACAGATAGATAAATAGACAAACAGATAACAGCTGGAGAGAACGAAAAAAAACAGATAGACAAACAGAACAGACAGACAAATAGACACATAAACAGAAAGATAAACAGACAAACAGATAGACAGACAATAGCTGGTGAGAACGAAAAAAAGCACACACATATAGACAGATAGACAGACAGATAACAGCTGGAGAGAACGAAACAAAAAAAAACAGATAGCTACACAGAACAGACAGATAAATAAACAAATAGACAGACAGACAGACAACAGCTGGTGAGAACAAAACAAAAAAAAAAAACACAGATAGACAAATAGACAGACAAATAACAGCTGGAGAGAAAGAAAAAAAAACAGATAGCTATACAGAACAGACAGACAAATAGACAGACAGAGAGACAGACAGACAACAGCTGGTGAGAACAAAAAAAAAACACAGATAGACAAATAGACAGACAAATAACAGCTGGAGAGAACGAAAAATAAAACAGATAGCTACACAGAACAGACAGACAAATAGACAAATAGACAGACAGACAGACAACAGCTGGTGAGAACGCCCCTGCATGACGCAACCCCGACCCGCTGCACCTGGCCGTCACACACCCTGGTCTTTCAGGACTCATTAACCCCAGGCCAAAGGGCGGAAAGGGGGGGGGGGGCTAGGCCGAGTAGGGTGAGCTCCTAAGGGTGACGAAGGAAGGGGGGGAGGGGAGGCAGGCCGAGTAGGGTGAGCTCCTAAGGGTGATGGAGGAAGGGGGGGAAAGGGAGACAAGGCCGAGTAGGATGAGCTCCTAAGGGTGCCGAAAGGAGGGGGAGAATTAGGGTTTAATGGGGGTAGGGAAGTTAAACATTGTAGGCCTAGCTCCTAAGGGTGGCGAAGAAAAAAACAAAAAAAGGGAGGAGTGGGGATGGGTCAAGTAGGGTGAAAAAAAGGAAGGGAGAATATGGATTTAAGGGAGAAAAGGGAGGCTAGACCAAGAGTGAGGGTACAGTGTTAAGCGTTTAAGGGTAAAAAGGGGCGGAGAGGGAGAGGAGGAAGGGGAGGATGGAGGGGGAGGGAGAGGAGGAAGGGGAGGAGGGAGGAGGGAGAGGGAAGAGGGAAGATGGAGGAGGGGGGAAGGAAGGGGAAGAGGGAGAGGAGGAAGGGGAGGATGGAGGGGGAGGGAGAGGAGGAAGGGGAGGATGGAGGGGGAGGGAGAGGAGGAAGAGGGAAGAGGGTGGAGGGAGGGAGAGGAGGAAGGGGAGGATGGAGGGGGAGGGAGAGGAAGAAGGGGAGGATGGAGGGGGAAGAGGAAGGAGGGAGGAGGAGGGAGAGGAGGAAGAGGGAGGAGGGAGGGGGAGGGAGAGGAGGAAGGGGAGGATGGAGGGGGAGGGAGAGGAGGAGGAGGGAAGAAGGAGGAGGGAAGGAGGAGAGAGGAGGAGGGAGAGGGAAGAAGTAGGAGGGAGGAGGGGGAAGGAAGGGGAAGAGGGAAGAGGGAGGGAGAGGAAGAGGCAAGAGAGAAGAGGGAAGAAGGAAAGAGGAAAGAGGAAAGAGGAGGGAGGGAAGAAGGAAGAGTGAGGAGTGAGGAGGGAGAAGGAGATGGAGATGGAGATGGAGAGGGAGAGGGGAGGGGAACAGGCTCTTTTGTGTTATTGCTGTTCATGTGATCATTCGCTATCTCTCGGTTCCACTCCGTAACCTCTTTCTGACTCTTTTTCTCCGCTCTGTGTGTGTGTGTGTGTGTGTGTGTGTGTGTGTGTGTGTGTGTGTGTGTGTGTGTGTGTGTGTGTGTGTGTGTGTATGTGCGTGCCTGTGTGTATGTGCGTGCCTGTGTGTATGTGCGTGCCTGTGTGTATGTGCGTGCCTGTATGTATGTGCGTGCCTGTGTGTATGTGCGTGTCTGTGTGTGTATGTGCGTGTGTATGTGTAATACCCCCATCCCACCCCCATGACCCCACCACCATACCCCCCCCCCCATGCTTGAGAACCAGCACACAAAGCTTCTGAATTCTTTACCATAGCAATTACTTGTTAATTCGGGACCGAGGAGGGCGTTATGAACATAAGGGTCATTTTGGCCCCGTTTCCCCTGGTTTGATCGCCCTTTGATGCTTCCTATTTATTCACCCGGCCATCTGAGGCACAGACAGCCACGATCTCGTTAGGGTCAAATGCTGTCTGTCTGTCTGTCTCTATGTCTGTGTATTTTTCCGCCTATACATCTGTTTGTCTGTGTCTGTTTGTCTCTATAGCTGTGTGTATCTTTCTACATATGTATCTGTCTGTCTGCCTGTTTGTTTCTTTCTCTGTCAATCTCTGTCTGTCTGTCTGTCTGTCTGTCTGCCTGTTTGTCTGCCTGCCTGTCTGTTTGTCCGTCTGCCTGCCTGTCTATCTCTATAGGTATGTGTATATTTCTCTGTATGTATCTGTCTGTCTGCCTGTTTTTTTCTTTCTCTGTCAGTCTCTGTCGGCCTCTGCCTGCCTGCCTGCCTGCCTGTCTGCCTGCCTATCTGTCTCGATTCATCTTTCTGTGTGCCGATTCATCACATCAGTAATAATCTCAATACAAAGTAAGAAAAATAAGAAACAAAAACATCAGAAACAGATTTAAAAAAAACAAAAACAAAAAAATAAAACCAAGAGTAGGGTTAAGCGAAAACAAGAAAAATCCGGTGAAAAAAATCAAGCAAAAACAAAAACCAATTAGCTACACCTCTCCCTCACAAACAACAACAACAACATCAAAATCAACAACAACGACAACAACAGCAAAAAAAACATGAACAACGACAGCCTCTCAAACAAAGACATCCTCATTTACAACCGGCTTCAGGGAACAACAATGCAACTTGCGGCCAAGTTCGCATCTAATTAGGGTTGATGACGTCACTTCCGGCCAGGTAAAACGGCGCGGAGGAAGCGAGAGAGAGAGAGAGAAAAAAAGAAGAAACGAAGGGAAGAAAAAAAATAGAGAGAGAAAAAAAGAGAAAGATCTTGCTCGCCTTGACATCATGAGACCCCGACCGAGTGTGTGCGTGTGCGTGTGCGTGTACGTGTGCGTGTGCGTGTGTGTATGTGTGTGTATGTGCGTGTGCGTGTGCGTGTGTGTGTGCGGGAGGATATGGGCATGGTGTGGGCGTAGGTGCGAGTGTACGTGTAAGTGTACGTGTATGAGTACATGTAAGTGTAAGTGTACGTATAAGTGTACGAGCATGTGTAAGTGTAAGTGTATACGTCCATGTACATATATGTCTGTATGTACATAGACGTATACACGCGTTTTTTATACACATACATCACAACGTACATAAGATCAATTCTACGATACCTAAAAAAAAAAAAAAAAAAAAAAAACACCAACGCACTCACCACACTCACCGCACGCACACACACACAAACACACACACACACACACCAACGCACTCACCACACGCACGCACGCACGCACTCGACCCAGCCTACTAACGAATGCACTTTGCAACACTACACGCGGTTGTTCGCAGGGTCCGCTACCGAGCTTGTTAACTTCCCGGCGGACAGGAAAACGCCGAGGTTCTTCTGGGTTACGGATTCCACTTGTAGGGAGAGGGGGGGAGGGGAGGAGAGGGAGGGAGGGAAGGGAGGGAGGGAGGGGAGGGGGAAGGAGAAGAGGGAGGGGAGGGGGAAGGAGAAGAGGGAGGGAAGGGGGAAGGGTGGGGAGGGAAGGGAAAGAGGGAAGGGAGGGAGGGAGGGGAGGGGGAAGGAGAAGAGGGAGGGAAGGGGAAGGGTGAGGAGGGAAGGGAAAGAGGGAAGGGAGGGAGGGAGGGAAGGGGGAAGGGAGGGAGGGAAGAGGAAGAGGGAGGGAAGGGGGAAGGGAGGGAGGGAAGGAGGAAGGAGGAAGGGGAAGAGGGAGGGAAGGGGGAAGGGAGGGAGGGAAGGAGGAAGGAGGAAGGGGAAGAGGGAGGGAAGGAAGGGGGCGGGAGGGAAGGAAGAAAGGGAGGGAGGAGGGAAGGGGGGAGGGGAGGGAGATGGGAATGGATGAGGGTGGGGAGGGGAGGCGAGTGGAGGGGGAGGGGAGTAGCGGGGAATGGGGAGGGGAGGCAAGTGGAGGGGAGGGGAGTTGAGGGGAGGGGAGGGGAGGGGAGCGGAAGTATTCATAACTGTGCTAAATCGCCTCGATAAAAAAGAGCGAAGGCTAAGTAGATGTATATCAAGGTTGGGAGTGAGTGGATACATAGATGGATAGATGGATGGGTGGGTGGGTGGGTGGATGGGTGATCGATTGACTGACTGATGGATAGATGGAT